TATTTACCATACATGTGTGTTAAATTCATGGAGAGATGTTCTTGATGCACGGGTGGATGCTAGCATTTCAGGGTGCAAGTAGAGTTAGTGGGGGAGACTTCCATATCTATTTTTACAATTTTTCTCCTGCCCCCTCTCTTTTCTTTGTTATCCTATTCTTCCCATTTTATCCTCTCTCCTTTCTCTCCCCTTTTTTTTCTTTTCTTGTCTCTCCTATTCCTCCCATTTTATCCTCTCTCTCTCTCTCTCTCTCGTACAAACATCTTCCAATTATTTCTTCTTTCTCTTTCAAAATTTCATATCATGTACCAATACCAGGGCCTATTTCCTAAACTACCCTTGTGGTTTAACTAATTGACTAGCTCTATCCTTACTATTTACATATTATCTTAGAGTATCCCCTAAATTTTTTGACAATTGTCTAGAACCTCCCTTACTGTTAACATTCACCAACTCCATCACCAACGAAGATCCCAGAACAACTTCATCTTGGGGTTGGGGTGGAGCATTGATTTCATTTGTGGGGAAGAAGATGATTATGACTTGGAGCGACGGCGATTCCAATATCCTTGGCATCGATTTCAAGAAAAAATTCAGTAGCTGTTAAATGCATATGAAGCATGGTTTTGGAGGGTTTTTGGATTGTAACAGCTTCCCATAGATTGGATTGCCGAACAATCTGCACCTCCAATTCCACAAGACCTATGGCCTCCGTGTTGTTTCCTATGGATCTCAAAATCTTCTCAAAAAATTCAGAGACTTGTACTGCACTAAGAACAGAACAACAGAGCTACCAATAGTCATAATAGGGAACATTACAGTAACGAAGAGCAATAGAGGCATTTCTAGCCGTTTCAATCACCAAGCGAACAAAGTGATCTCCCATACTCTTCCCTCCATTAATGACAGTCCGCATATTTTTTGGTAACAAAGAATACTAGAGATATTCTTCTTGTGAATTTCAAGTTCAATGTATCAATAGAGTATAAATCAAACAGATCAAGAAAGCTAGGGATTCATCATAAATTTCCTTGGTACACGAAGCCCGCTGACCTCCACCCAAACTGATAATTAAAAGCTACTGCTTGGGTTTTAATCTCAAAATGAACTTATAATCAAAAGTTGCCACTTGGGTTTTAATTAGACACGGTAGCTTTTGCAATTAGTTTTGAAATTGTGCTTAAAATCTTAATTTATTGAACAACCATAATGCTAACTCAACGTCTGACTAGGTGTTTCCTCAATCTCGCTACCTTGAACCAGCAAGGAGCCAATTTGCTTATATGCTTCCATTACTTTGGGTCGTCCTCCTCGTCTTCATAACCAACCTGCAGTATACGTGTCGACCTGCCTCCTGCAAGGCAATCAAATAAATAGCTTCTAATGCTTGAGCCCTGAGATCTAGATCATCCACTGGCTCTCGTTCGATTGGAAGGCACTCCTAAGTCCCAAGCTCAAGTGTTATTTTTTATGTGTGTCCGTCCTGTTCGCAATAAACTTTAAACCTTCTTTCCAGCAATAAGCTGAAGCAGAGCTGGCCAGAACCCCCTTTCTCGGTAATAGCAGAGAATGAAACTGAGACCTTAGACGATAACAGAAACAGGAGGCCATGTTCTGACAGAACAGAATCGTCTTCCGGTCTGCTTGCCTCTGCCCTCCCCCGTTCCACCGTCCATCAGCAATGCTTTCATTTTGAAAATTTGAAGAGAATAATAGGTAAAATAGTTCTTTTCGTTAACAGACGTTATTGGTAAGGAAGTTTTAAACAATTGTCAGAAAACTTAAAGGTATTATAAGACAATATGTAAATAGTAAGAGTAGAGTTGGTTAATTAGCTAAACTGTAAGGGTAGTTTAAGAAATTTTCCCTTGATATCAAGGATTTAAATATTGATACGGGGCGTATCGTATCGGTTACTAACGAGATACGCTATAAATACAAGCATATCCCGTTCGTATCGAATGGATACGGATGCGCCTGTATCGCATTGTATTGGTCAATATGCATCGATATGAGCCGCACAATATTGTTGCGTCTATTCAATAATCTCCAAAAATATTGCAAATGAGGTGATTCAAACTCAAGGCATATAACACATGTTTAGAACTTGTTGCGATTCCAAACCACTAAGCCACAATTGACTTTGTGATACACAGTAAAATAAAATAAGTTTTATTAACTTTTTGTGTTCACATGCAATTTTAATAAAAAACGCATTTATATTTAACAACTCAAACTAAAAATTAAAAAATAATATTTAAGAATAGTATTTTATAAACTAATAGAATAAATAATGTATCAAATCCACATTTATATAAAAAAGATTTTTAATATCAAGAAATTTATACAAATATAATATTAATAATAGAATAATTATTTTAATACTTAAAATTTATAAATGTACACATGATATAAATCTTAAATTTTTTATATACTTTTATTAGTTATTAACTAATATTTTAATTTACATTAATAAGTAATAATAACATATCTATTATTTACAAAATATTGAAGAATATAATATTAAATTGAATCTATCAAATCCGCTAATCTACCTTTATTTCAAGCAGTGATTTTTTATTTCATAAAATTTATAGAAATAAAAATATTAATAATGGAATAATTATTTTAGTAATTAAAAACTATGAATTTGTATATGATATGATATGTATCTTAGAAACTTTAATAAATTTGATATAATTTAAGTTAAGATTATATTTTTATAAATTATTAATTGATATTTTAATTCCCACTTGAAAATTTAATATTTAGTTCTTTTTATTAATGTTAAAAAATTAAAATAGTAAAATAAAAAATTTGATATGATAATTAAAATACAATAGATGCATATATTTAGTGTCTTGGACTCTTGATTGATGCACTAGAAATAAAATTATGCATCCCGGTTTACTAATCATAATATATTTCTTCATATATGTCCTTAATATTTATATTTTTTATGTATTTATATACTATTTTGTGATCATTTTGATCTTAAATTTAGTGTTATTAATATATTTATGAAATTTGTATGTATTTCCTTAGTGTATCCATGTGTTTCCATCTTTTTTGTCCATATCCATGCGTATCCAAAGTGTATCCGTATCTGAATTGTCTGATACGATACCTGATACCGATACTTTAATTGGAATTGAACCAACTCCAACCAACCACATGGACGCTCATGGAAATCGGTTTAGACTCTAGGGTACCTATTGTTAATAGAGACGAGAAAACGATTAAGGCCCACTGTTGCGTGTGTGAAATGTGATGGAGGTTGAAGGAGATTGATGTCGCACAATCTGGACGCTCCGTCCTGTACTGTAATTTGGACTTTGACTAGACATCAATCTGGCTGGGCCAAGCTGTGTGGCCGAGCTGGTGTTTGTATATCCGAGCTAAAGCGAACTACAAGGGAAGAAAGGTGAGAATGCCCGAGTGGTTTTTACCCCAAGAGGACACTCCGATGCTTAAATTAGTAAGTGAATGGGGATTTCTCTAAGAGTGTTAGAAAGCTTGAGATTACTAGTGCCCATACCTCTCCGGGTGAATTTGGGCTCCTTTATAGTTATCAAAGGTTTAGGGTGCCTTGGAAACTAGACCTGTTCAAGGGCCGGGTGGCCCGGCCCGGCCCCCATACGGGCTTGAACAGGCTTTTTGGCCCGCGGGCTTATCTTCGAGCCAAAAAAGCCCAACCCGCATAAAATTTGAGCCGGGCTCGGGCTTTGCCAAAATAGCCCGGCCCGAGCCCGACCCGGCCCAACCTATAGTTAAACCTAAGTAAAAACCCTATGTGATGTCCATTTGAATAATTTTTTTGATTTAAGAAGGTTGTTGATTCACTTGTAGGCCCATTGTTCATTTAAATAGGGGAAAAAAACATTTGAATTAAAATAGATAAAGTCCATTTGAATAGAAAAAAATTGAATTTCTTTTATTAGGTCGAGCTTCGGGCTCGGGCTCGGGCTTCGGGCTTTTTATCAGGGTCGGGCTCAGGCCCTAGTTGTAGGCCCGTTGGTCGGGCCGGGCTCGGGCTCAGGCCTAACATTTTTTCTGGCGGAGCTGTTTCCACAATACAAGGCGTATTAATGTATCGGTTATGAAATCTACACGGCAGTTATAGTTCGTTCGCTTAGATTGTGGCGCACGGTAAGGCGAGCTGCTCCAACGGTCGCAATATTGGCTACCTCATGAGCAGGATGTGGGGGCAGTTAGACGAGCTCACCTTTGCAGGTCACCTTAGCTTGCCTCAACTCAGCTGACTCCTAGGCCAAGTCATCAGCAACCTTAGGGGCTCTGCTAGCTCACCCTTGCCAAGATTGAGGCCGGTCTATGCGAGGTGCTCCGAGCTAACCTGCTGAGTAGGTCTGCTGACTTAGAGTCATATTGTCGATGATGGCCACATATCGTCATTTGTTTGGGAGGACCAAATTACCCCCTTATCAGAAATCATCACCGAAACATGAAACAAAGCCCATCACTAAGCCATGAATTATTTGTCACAGAACTACGTACATTTCTCTTCGCATGCGGATTCCTGTGGTCCGAGATCTCATTCAGTTACGGGTGTTAATTGGACCGGATTTGGTCCAATCCGATCTGGTCTATTGATACCTGTAATCAGTGGACCAGATATTGGTTAAATTCAACCCAATTCAATATAAATCTATTATGATGGACTACGTCCAATTCAATCCAATAAATATTTTAAACCATCCAAATTGATTTTGATTTGGACGGGGTTCAAGCCAAAACGATGTTTAGCCGATCCATTGACACCCCCCAGCTACAGCTACATTCAACCACTTTTGTCTGGACACAATGACATAATGAGTAGAGATCTACCCCAGAACAAGGGGCAGATTCATGACTTCCTCCTATAAGAACCCAGTCCAAGTGAGGAAAGGAGAGCAGGCCTTAAAGAGTAAAGAGACGAGAGTGAAGTTTGTGAAAGATGAACAAGTCTCCGATCACTACCAGAAATCAGAGCCAAAGCTGAGATGTATGTTGGAGATGATCAGGTTTGTCAAGAGAAATTCCAGCTGTTGCTGAGGGAGGTAGGATTGCCGAGTGGTCTCCTCCGAGTAAAAGATGCAGAAGAATATGGGTACATAGAGGTCTCCTCCGAGTAAAAGATGCAGAAGAAGGCGAGTGAGCACAAATTCAAGTCGATTGGGAGGCCAGTATCCTATGCACTCTATATCACAGCCCATGTTGAGAAAAACAGGATCAAGAAGCTGACCGGAATGAAGGCCAAGGAGCTCTTGATCTGGGTCACCGTGAACGAGATTTACGTCGACGATCCACCCACCGGCATGATCACCTTCAACGCTACGACGGATTTGACCAGAACATTTCCTGTTTCTGCATTCGAGATCCAGGAGGGGGACAATAAGGAAGCCTAGAAAGGAAGCTAATGCCACAGTTACAATAAATGCCCAGTAGGTGCTAGTGAAGTGAAAGCCTGATTATTGGGTGGGTCGACTTGTCTTAAGTCTTGACCCACCCAATAATAACCCCTCCAATAATTGAATAAATTTGTCTTATTTTCATCCACATGGGCACTCTAGTAATAGTAGTATTTTCACCAAAAAGGTGGAAATTAAATTAAAAACATGCAATATATTTATCCTCTTCTTAAAACAAAATTGATTCCCAATCCAACTTGATCGTCTTCAATGGTGGTTGGTTTCATTTAGGTTGTGTTTGGTTTGAAGGAAAAAGTAAGAAAAGAAAGGGAAAGGTAGAGAAACCTTTTACAAATCTTGTAAAAGTTTCTCTACCTTTTCTTTCAAATCAAACATAGCCTTCGGTTATATTTGGTTTGAAGGGAAAAGCAGGGAGTTGAAGGAAAAGAAAGGGAAATCTAACTAATGTCAACATTCTTTAATTAGCAGAGTTAAGATCAGGTAGGCATACTTTTTTTAATTTTTTCGTAACATAGAATATAATTCATTTGGAGAACTCAAAACAAATCCAATTCGATAGTCATTATGATCCAGGTTGAGATATCTATTCTATATATATAAAGCAAGGTTGTTCACGTCACCATGCATACCTCTCCTTGATACAAACACCCCTTCCTAATATTTATTTATTTATTTATTAACTCCACATAATTGCCCATTAAACCAATAAGGAAACAATATAGGCTAAATTATCTTGAACAACCAATAGTTAAAGAAAGAGGGATTTGCTTTTCTAATGTCTAGCCAAGTGATACAACTATCCCTTAGTTTCTCCTAAATCATCTATGATTCCTATTTATCTCCTAAATTATTTCTAATTCTTATTTATCTCCTAAATTATCTCTAATTCCTATTTATCCTCTCCCCCACTTTTTATCTATATAAAGAAAAATTCAATTAAAAAAATTAAGAACTATTTAAGTATTATAACAAGATTATATAATAAATTTAAAATATTTATTAAAACTACAAAAAAATTATAATATATTTAATGATATTTATATTATTAATAATTTTATATTTTTACAAAATTCATCAAGCAAATAACATGGGCGAGAGCATCTTGTTGGAGGGAGATTCAAAATTTCAAGAGTATGACCTCCCTCTCCTTTGGTTTTGTTTCTGTCCTCTTACAAGCATGTGGAAAAATCTCGTCCCACATTATTTGGGAAAGAGATAGACTTGAGCATATTACTAGTCTTTACAAACCTTGTATAGGTTTTCCTATGTTTCCCTTCCTTTTCCTACCATTTCCTTCGAACCAAACATAGTCTAAGGGTAAGGACCCATAGGAGGAAAGAACCATACAATGTTCACATGCATGTAAGGGGAGTTAGGGGTGCTTTTCACACACATGCGCACCAAGCCGGGTGCGGGTGTATATGTGTGCACCACACCATAACGTTTTTGTCTTTGTGTCTTCTCCTCTCTATGTCTCTTCGAATAGGTGTAAATTGTTCTGGAGGAACATCCCTCTGAAAGGATACAACTGTGTCCATTCGGGTGTTTGAGAGCACTCTATAAATAATGTTAATCAACCCGATGACACATACCTGAACATTTATCTTCTCTAAGCATCATTTTTGTTGGTTCGCAAAGGTCTGGTAAGCGAGTGCAGGTCTACCAAAAGCCTATAGGTTGTTTCATCTTTGAGACCGATTTGAATTCATCTGGCTGCACCGTAGGGGGAAAATGCAATTTTAAGAAGTGACCAAGTGGAACGCTTTGAACTAGTTTCAAACAAGGTTTCTTAGTTTCTATTTCAATTCTACAACAATATTGTTGTACTCCAGATTTGGAAAGCGAAAATGATAAGTTCCATTCTGCCTTCTGATTACATTTTTACAACAATCTTAAAATAGCATTTATGGAAACTATATCTTCTACCCCTTTCATGAGAAACCGAATGTTGTCAACAATGCTGGATTTATCAAATATTGAACCATTTAATGGATCCGACTACAAGTGTTGGAGACAACGCCTTCTCTTTGCCTTAGAATATTTAGGGTAGCCTTTGCTTTGATTGAACCAAACCCAATAAATATGGAGGAATCATCCCATTCTATTGTTGCAGAACATTGATTTCACCTCTGCAAGAACCATATCCTCAATTGCCTATCCAACGAACTATATAATGTTTACTATTCATACAACTTTGCTTATGAAATTTTGAATGCTCTGGACAAGAAATATGCCCTGGAATATGCAAAAAAATAAAAAATAAACTTTATGTTATTACCAATTTCCTACAATTTACCATTAAAGAAGACATGGATGTACCTGTCTAAATATATGAGTTTCAGGTGCTTGTGGGGGAATTAACAAAGGAATGCATTGTACTGCTTGATGAACTTCTAATTGGTTCTCTCATAGAGAAACTGTTGTATATATGGAATGACTTCAAAACAAGTATGAAACATAAAAGAAACTACTTTGAATCAAATGGTATTCTGAATCAAAATAAAAGAGCATAACAGGAAAAAAATGATTAAGTTGAGAAAAATAAGATTTCCAAAATCAATTTGGTGGAATAAATGATTACAAAATTCAAAAAGAGCTTGAATGTAAAAAAACGACTAAAAGTTTAAGAATCAACAAAAGAAAGTAAAGTGCTACGTATGTGGCAAACCCATGCACTACAAGAAAGATTGTCATCACCAAAAGAAAGTGCTATGTAATACCTTTTTGAAAATAATCTACTGCAGTGATGATAAACCAAGTTCTAATAAATTAATTTGTAGCGTCTTACTATTTTTGAAGGGACTCTTCAAGAAATTCTCAAAGGCCAAGGGCAGGCCTAGGCCTACATTACGGGGGTTCAAATAATCTTCAACTAGCAATTGACACGCCTCCATTGACACCTTATTGATTGCATCATCGCCCCAAGCACAAAAATGCTTTAAATGAGTATATCATAAAGGGTAAATTGTAGAAACCTCCCTAAAGTTTAGTAATTGCAATTACCTCCCCTAAACTTTCTAATAATGTTGCAAGTATACTCCCTCTAGAAAAAGGCAAGAAAATGTCCAAAATATCTATGCAGTTACAATTGAGGTTAATTTCTACAAAAAAAAATTAATGCAAACTTTATTGATGAGGGTAATTTGGTCCTTCAATGATATTACAGCACGTGGCATTGCAAAACAGTAGAGTGGCATATCGACACCACATAAGTAGACCCTATGAGCACTTTGGAGGCTTCACAACCGCCTCGACGACCTCGGTACCACTCCAATAGGCCGAACTACAAACAACCAAGGAAGACCTTAGGTCGGTCAGTCGGTGTAAGAGGCGACGTGTTTCCACCGATCTGACTAGACTCTAGTTAGCGACCTACCTAACGTGTCAAGCGATCTCCCCCTTAAGCGGGCTATCGCCTTCGAATATCATAATGCCATGTCGGAAGAGCCGGTTATCACCACGCCAGCTTCAGGTGGGATCGGATAAACATTACCTACTTACGCAGAGTCCACCTCCAAGCGTGAAACCACCTCCAAACTAGATGGGTCAGAGATCCCTGATGCGTTTCGTGAGGCTCACGGCATCTCGCCTATATAAAGGCCTCACTCCAACCTCACAAGGTATGTGCAATTCAGCTCTCACAATTCTTTAGCTTTCTTGCAAACAATCACTAGTTTGCTAACTTAAGCATCCGAGTGCCCACCCCAAGTCAAGCTACCCGGACACTCTGATAATTACTTTCTTGCAGCTCGACTAAGTGACCTACTCATCTGGCGTCCGAGTTGTCTACCAACAAGGAGCACTAAATCACGGATCATCAATTGGCATCATCTGTGGGGGTCGCTACACAAAAGTCATATTCTCACACACTCTCTCTAATCACAAGTTCAATGGCATCTTCTAGCAACAACCCCGTCAACAACGTACGTGCTGACGGAATAATCACAGGAGGCAAGACCAGCATGCCATGCATACTAACATCCCCTGTCACTATTGAGCACTTCACTGTGTCCCTAACCTTACCTGGAGTCCCTGTCATGCAAAACCCTAACCACCCTTTGTCCACCGTGAATGTGCCTCTTCCACCGATCGAGCCATCCGTGGTTCCTGTTAGAATTGATGGTCGTCAGTTCAACAAGCTGATGCAGTTCGTATGTGAGATAAAATTGCATATGAGAACGTGGGAAGGTCATTTTGTGGCATTAACAGGGATGCAACAGCAACAACAACAACAACACCCATGAGATCAGGCTGCAAGGAAGAACGCCAACCAGAACCACCAGTTCAACAATCAGAATCATAATAAAGTACCGAACCCACCTCGCCATTATGACAACCAGAACCAAGTTCCCGCTGTGGAATCAACTCAAGTCATGATGTCTGAGGCCACCATCTCCACTAAGGGGTCCCGAAGAAGGCGTCATAGACGTGCATGCCACAACACAGGAAGGAGTCGCCTCACTCCAAGTAACAACGAGGAGGCAAAAAAGAAAGAAGAAGACAAGAAAGAGGCGAGCCAGATCGCCACCTCATTAGTACAGTCGATGATCCGCACCTCACCACTGACCATGAAAATCCTCATGGCCCCATGATCAAAGGATTTCAAGGCCCCTAGCCTAGAGTTCTACAACGGAATCACCGATCCAGTCAACCACCTCGATAGCTTCCAAGCCTTGATGCAGCTACACAGGGCCAATGACACAAGCCTCTGCATGGCCTTCCTGACCACCTTCCGGGGCAAATCTCAAATGTGGTACTCGAGACTGGTCATAGGCTCGATCAAGAGTTGGAAGCAATTTGTCGATCTCTTCACCACCCGCTTCACAATGAGCAAGCGGTGTTTGAAGTCAACAACTAGAGCAGTTATAGATCCCGAACCTCGACCTGGTCATCTAACTCACTGTAGTAGTTAATGGAATCTAGCACCCTAACTTGCGTTGGAAGGTTAAGTTGAACCCTTTAGAGTCCATTGAGGA